ATGAGTATTTCTTAGAGGCTGTCTCTTATACACAGCTAGATGTGTATAAGAGACAGGGTTTCCATGTTTTCAGGGCATAGAAATGATATACTGTTGTATGCGCTTTATAATTGATAATTGTATCACTATTACCATGGTAATAAAAGATATTTAAAAATATTTGGGCGATGTTGACAATTACTTTAATTAAATTTGGACACATCGAGTTCAAAACAGCGCCTCCTATGTAGTATTTGATATAATTTCCTAATTGATACTGTACCAGTATTATTTAAACAAAATAAAAAACATTATTTTAATTACCAATCAGGCATATTGTTATATTAACATTTTGTTTAACTAATTGCATTTAAATTATCACTACAGTAAATTGACATGCATGCACTGTCCGCGTTCGTGTTACTTTATTACCGTGTTTCCAAATGGTACTCCAAGGCCTAAAAGACATATCGTTTATATGATATCAAAGTAATTTTAACACGCAGAATAATTTCCTTCTATTTATGTGTTCAAATTGAAATAGGCTTGCCATGTTAACACGGCGGTTAATAGGCTATCTAGGATAATTTGACTTTTCTTCAAGAAAAACAAAATACAATCGCTGTACGGCGTCCTTGGATTCGATGAATTACAATATGATTGAGAATGATATGCCCTGATCTTAACCAAAACACAATGTACTAAGTAATTTCGAGCAAAAGCAAATTTATTATCTGCTACCGAAAGGTTGTCTTAAACGTGGAACATCAATTTGCTTTGAGCAATTTCAATGCAATAGGTTTTTATGGGCCTACTTGCAGTTTGTATTCATTATTGATGAATTGATTTAGAAATAAACTGAACAAAATATAGTGTGTTGACGTATATTATTATCTTTTCAAGTAAATTGTAATACCACTGGCTTTGTCAGACACTACTATTATGGAGACGGGTCCAGGTAGGGCCCGTAGGCCTATGCAAAATACTAGCGAAGAATTTTACCTCTAACCGAGTCATCCTCTATCGGCTGCTTTAGAGCTGTTATATCCTTAAACGTGCATATAATTAATACCACTTGGTCGTGTTCGTTCTTGATAGGAGAAACCTGTGTCATAAACCATAGAGGTGTTCCTGAAAATAAACGACAACGATTATGGTTATATTCATGATATACGCAGTATTTATTAGTAATAGTTGTATAAATATAGATTAAAATAATAATAATAATAATAATAATAATAATAATAATTTTATTATTATTATTATTATTATTAATATTATTTAATCAAATATTAATATTAAGATTACTAATGCTTGTAAAAATTTAGTGTATTATATCATAGGCCTCTACTTAAAGTGTGACATTTTTAAGAGGGGAAGGGACTGGGGGAGCATGAGTATTTCTTAGAGGGGCGTATGATCGATGTATTTGTGTTTATTATTAGACCTATATGGATTATGAAATAGCCTTGATAATATGTGATAGTACCTAGAAACAACAAGCTGGGTATTGCAGATACTACTGTACATTGGAAATGTAGAGAGTAGAGAAATTTGAAGACTGTTATTACTGTCACAGAGTGATGATGATAATTATTGTTATTATTATTATTATTATTATTATTATTATTATTATTATTATTATTATTATTATTATTATTATTATTATTATTATTACCATTATATAGAAAGACTGTATATGTTGACCTAAAGGAGATGAAGCTCATACTTTTCATATACACTTTGTGTCTTACTTGGATATCTTGTATGCTAATTTTAATTATGCATATGCAAAATAATTTTGCTAATTTTGGATGATTGCGAGGGGTGGACTGTGTAGAGGTCAGTTGAGGAAGATTGGCTGAGCGTGATATAGCTCAAGGGAGGCCAATGATTTGAATGGCCAAAAGATAGGCCTAAAGGATTGGAATTATTCTTGTTTTACGAAGTATCCTGCAGTATGTGGCTAAGTGTGTAGCCTGGAATATGCTTGATATATACAAGAAAACTGTAGTGGAATTGAGCCACCAAAGTTTTATGAAAAATATTACAGGAAACTGTGGTGGAATTGAGACGCCTGAGTTTTATGGATAATACTGCCGAGAAAACTGTGGTGGAATTGAGACGCCCGAGTTTTATGGATAATACTGCCGAGAAAACTGTGGTGGAATTGAGACGCCCGAGTTTCACGGATACTGTGCTACAAGAAACTGTTGTAGGAAAGCTGGGGGAATTGAGCCGCCCAAGGTGATTTGTTGCTACGGTAGAACCGAGCAGATGTAACGTGCCGTGAGAACATTTTGTTTATAAACAGGAACATTTCCGTTCGATATTTGTATAATGATGATTCTGTGTTAATTTTATATTATACCTTTACTTTTCATTGTTATTAAAGTCGGAAGATTCGACGATTAAATAGATAATCTGGTGTGAATTGCAACAAGTTACACTCAGTCATTTCATTGGTTGAAAAACACAAACAGAGCTTGTGACAATTACTATTTACAATAACATCTAATTAAAATCAAATAACATGCTCTCTGCGATTTTGACCATCTGTCAAAATATGTACCATATATTATATATACCATCTGTATATTAAAATATAATCGACTGAATATATAGTACCTTGTAATTAGCTTTTACCAAATTTGTAAAACGAGTGTTGATATATGAATGTATGCCTACAGTATGTATGTATGTGTGTGTATGTATTTAACAACTTGCTATGAGTAACCTGCTTCTGTGAATTCCTAACATGTATGTTATATGTTATATAAATGAAAAAGCAAATTAAAAATGTATGTATCTGTGGTGTGTGTTTGTGAAGGGGTGGGGGAGTATTTACATCATTGTTGGCTGATTTTAAACTATTTGATTTAATTTATTACAAACTTCTATGCCACAGAAGTTTTAGACAAAAAATAAATAAAAAAATATAAAGGCCTACAACATAAGCACATGAGTGTGGAAGTAAACATTTGTTTCTGAAGATGATGGTACTGTATAAGCGACAGGAGAATTTTGCAACGTATGACATAATGACTATCTAGAATGTTTTAACAATCCGTAGAGAGAACAATCTAATGAATTAATCCAACATGTAATTTCCATTAATTAAAATTATGCCAGATGGTCTGTACAATAAAATCAAGGACAGATACTTCCAAATTCCTTAGTAAAAATGAACACCACTTTAGAGATAATGGTATAACCTTTACTGCTTTAAAATTAAAAATACCTCATGATATAGGCCTAATGGTACTGTACTGTACAACCTATCATTAAAAATCTTAATTTTCTAGATCTGGAAAAGTAAGATATCTTACTTTTCTAGATCTAGAAAAGTAAGATAAATCTTATGTCTTACTTTTCTAGATCACCATTTGGCTCTCATTGATTGATAGACAATTCAAGCTTCCCGAATGCGGGATTGCAAATCGAACATGTCTTCAAGGCGAACTTTGTCTAGGGCTATTGGAAACGATCGTAGGAATTTTGACGTGGTGATGTTGCCCTAAAACCAGTTCGATACTGGTCCTGTGCGGTTGCCGTTCAGCGTCCAAATGTGACGAATAAATGGACTGGGCGATCGTGGTGGTTTTTTTTTTTTTTTTTATTTCATTCTGGTTTATTCACCTTCATGTCGTTAATTTCAAGTTGTAGTTCCTCTAATTTGTTAAGAACAGTCTGTAACGCTTGTTATTAGGTATTATCAGAAGGGCTGGTCACAGCTACTGGCAATAGACGTACAAGCAACTTTGAGGCATGATTTGCCCTCTCAATTTGGGAAGTCGTCTTTACAGCATCTGTAATGTTTTTCACTCCATGTTTATATACCTTTTGAATTAGAGTCGGCTCAATCCCCGCTATGCATCTTCGAAACACCTCTTGTTCAATAATTTGCTCAGTATATGTGGGGTACGCATCCCTTAAGGCGTGTTAGTTCTGCAACGTAAACCTCTAAAGGTTCGTTAAGGCCTATATAAGTAGTTTACAGTTGATTTTTTTTTTTTACATATTATTCCTGTCCTTGCTAGAGTAATTTTAGCTAAAAGCAGTCATGGAAACCCTATCAGTTTAACTTGTACCGAAATGCTTAAAGTTTGTTTTATTTTCTATTTACGTAAGAAAATATTAATTTTCTTTGATTTCTGTTTAAAGCAATGTGTAAGTGTAAATGCATTTTATAGCAATGATTATCATTGTGGGATTCAGGACAGGATTCAAATTAGGCGAAGTTTAGACATACAAATCCAGAGAGTCTTTCTTGAAATGTTATATGTATGGCCCCTCTAAATGTCATTCTCCGAGTTAATTAATGTAATTTTTTATTTATTCGTAACTTATGGACCCCAATTTGAAATAAGTTTCTCAACTTTATGGGTTATCCATGGCATCTTTTTTCCCCATTTTCCTTTATTATTCATTTATCTAGGTCTTTTAAAATTAATGACATTGTATTGCCTTTGTATTCCTCTCTTTTGTTATGTTGTAAATTGGAATTTTGTGTGATGCTGAATAAAACAAAACAAAACAAAAATCATTGGAAAATAGTGGTAGCCAAAATTTGGGTCGCGACACAGGTTGGGAAACATCGGTATGAATGATCGTTATTACGTATGCTTATTATTTGTTATGACACATTTTTTTTAATTAATATTAGTTAATAATTGGCCTATATAATATTTTTTATGTTGGTTTCATTGGTTAATGTGGTTTGAATTATGATTCACACCGTTTTATATTATTTCTCTGCTCTAATTTATCGGTTTATATATTTGAACGTCGTATGCCTACTAATTGTTCGTAATTGTATTAACATCTTGTGCGTGTATAATATTAAACAATAAAATACCCCACACAAATTTATTTTATGTCTATTGTTTTGATAAAACTTCATTTTAATTTTACTATAATTATTGTTAATAAGAAATAGCGTATCCGTACGCTTTCGATTTATTACCGTAGACCTTGCATTGATGCCAACTTCGGAATACATATAGGCCTACCTGTATATTTTGTGATTTTGCACATTATTGAAAATTTTTGATAACTATATTCATAAAGGTAAGCCATCTGAATCTAATACCTAGGCCTATACACCTATATCAAAACTGGCTTACCGAGGCCTTGAATGTGCGCCCTAAACAGTTTTTAGGAATACATCAGCCTATCTGTATGTTTAGTCATTTTGCATACACATACTGTGGATAAATATGTCTAAAAGTTCATTCACAATGTTCGGATCGAAAAGCCTACCGAACCGATCAGAAAAGGGGATCAATGTGTAAGAATAGGGACGGAGGCGTTCAATATGGCGTAATCGAGGTACGAATGTCAGTTCAGACCCATTGTGAATGTATAGCTTTAGTCTACGAAAGGCTTAATCAAAACGGCCACGTCAATACACATGAAATTTACTAAATTCAGGCACGCCTCTCCTAGTCGTCCCTTCATCGCCTCCCTCTGTCGCTCCCCCTGAAAATGTTCGAAGCAAAAAAAAAATTAATAAATAAAAAAATCACGCTGAGGTAGATCAAAATAACCTCATATAAACTTATTTTGCGAGGTAGCGCCCCTTACTTAATCATCGAATCCCCGCCCTCACCTACTTCCCCATCGCGCCTACAACATCGTCCGCCCCACTTACCCCCACCTGCCCATTTTAAGACTCCTAGATACGTCAATAGGCCTGAATGATTTCCTCCTGATCATTTTGCCCCGGGTCATTTCGTCACGTGTAGTTTGGCTCTATCAAAGAATCTGGCAATCTTTTGCTACTGTTTTCCCATGCATCACTAATGCGTAAATAGATAATGTTATGCTTTTTCTTCTATTTTTTTTTTATTTTAACAGTTTGTAATATACAACTATATTATTTAGTTATGATTTTTTTTTTTAATTCTTAAAATTTCATTTCATGTTTTTAAAACCTCGATTTATTCGTGATAACAACATTTTAATCGTCATTCATAGAAATAGGGTAAATAAGGCAATACACGTATTGGAAGGCCAGAGGATTTGAAGACAACAAATGATTGAGACCGTATCCGACCGTAAAGTATGGAGATTTATTAAAAATTAGCATTCAATTCTGTTAAAGAAATGAATAAAGCAGTTTTGAGTAATCTAACATTTATACCATAAAACTACCTGTTTAACAAAATCATTTTAAGCAATTAATCGTTAAAGTCTAACACAGTTTATCATACAGGTATTCTTTAATCTTAATTATAATCATGAAAATCAAAAGCAAAAAGTTGCTGTTTTCTATCGGCACTGCCACAGTGCGAAAAGCTGCTGTTAATTAATCGAATCGATGTTTTTATCGATAGATGACATTGGTATAATTCATAATTCATAATTTTATTTCACTCAAA